GCTCCGCCCGAGAACGTTGTCAAACTCCTCGTCCGCCTTGTCGAACTGTCCCGAGAAATAGTCCTCCAGGGAGCCCACCACCTTGAACAGGAAATAAACAAATAAACAAACAAAAAACAAACAAACATCATGTCGAACTGTCCCAAAAAATAGTCCTCCAAGGAGCGGATCACCTAGCACAGGAAATAAACAAATAAACAAACATCTTACAGGAAATAAACAAACATCATGTCAAACTGTCCCGGAAGTACTCCTTCAGGGCGCCCAACGCCTAGCACAGTGTATGTACAGTGAGGACTCCAGAATGAGTAGTGGTTTCATTGTAACTATATTGTCACTATGCATACTGGCCCAGTGCTTGGTGCTACTTTTCCCTCAGTAGCCATACCTTATACCATACATACTGGCCCTGTCCTTGATGCTACTTTTCCCTCAGTAGCCATAGTGCTACCTTATACCATACATACTGGCCCTGTCCTTGGTGCTACTTTTTCCTCAGTAGCCATACCTTATACCATGCATATTGGCCCTGTCCTTGGTGCTACTTTTCCTTCAGTAGCCATAGTGCTACCTTATACCATACATACTGGCCCTGTCCTTGGTGCTACTTTTCCCTCAGTAGCCATAGTACTACCTTATACATACTGACCCTGTCCTGTTTTGTCCACTAATTGGAGGTTCCCGAAATGCACAAACAAACCAACCTTCTCCTGGTGGTTCTCCACCACTCCCTCGGCGACCCTGTCTCCCAGCCTGTCCACCACCTTCGCCGCCACGTCCTTCGCCGCGTCAGCTACGAAGGCGGGAACGGCTCGCTTCCCGCGGGAAGCTGCGTCGCCTTGGTTACCGCCGGACGCTGGGAGGGAGGGAAGTACAGACGACGGGGTCTCAGTTTCAGCGTCTCAGATAACCAGAAACTAGGGACATACGGGGTCCCTTATCTAGGTCAGTAACTAGGCATATACTGGGGGTCCTTTATCCGTCTTATAAAGCATCAGGCCAGTAACTAGGGAGATACAGGGTGTCTCCAGGCCAGTATTAGCAGTAACTACGGCGTCCTTTTCCGTCTTCAGGTCCGTATCTAGGAGGATACGGCGTCCTTTTCCGATTTTAGTTCAGTATCTATGGATATACGGCGTTCTTTATCCGTCTGCAAGCCAGTAACTAGGGAGATACGGGATCCTTTATCCGTCTCCAGGTCAGTAACTAGGGAGATACGGCGTCCTTTTCCATATTCAGGTCAGTAACTAGGGAGATACGGGCTCCTTTATCCGTCTTCAGGTTAGTAACTAGGGAGATACGGGAGTAACTAGGGAGATACGGCGTCCTTTATCCGTCTGCAGGTCAGTAACTAGGGAGATACGGGCTCCTTTATCCGTCTCCAGGTCAGTAACTAGGGGGATACGGGGTTCTAATCCGTCTCTAGGCCAGTAACTAGGGAGATACGGCGTCCTTTATCCGTCTGCAGGTCAGTAACTAGGGAGATACGGGCTCCTTTATCCGTCTCCAGGTCAGTAACTAGGGAGATACGGGGTTCTAATCTGTCTTTAGGCCAGTAACTAGGGAGATACGGCGTCCTTTATCCGTCTTCAGGTCAGTAACTAGGGAGATACGGGTCCTTCATCCGTCTCCAGGTCACTATCTAGGGGGATACGGGGCTCTAATCCGTCTCCAGGCTAGTAACTAGAGAGATACGGGCTCCTTTATCTGTCTCCAGGTCAGTAACTAGGGAGATACGGGGTTCTTAATCCGTCTTCAGGTCAGCAGATACCTTAGAAGGATCCTGGGGTACGCTGGTTCGACCACCTGCCTGGCATCGAGCTCAGCCAAAGGACCCAGCAGCCTCCTGCCTTCCGTGTGGCAGCGATGCGCCGAGTCCGCTGGTACGGACATGTCCCGCGACTCCCACCCGACCACCTTACCCGGGCTATCCTGAACTTTACCCCCCAGTCCGCTGGGTGGAGCAGACCACGGGAGGGGGGCGCACCCGCTGGACGGACGTCCTGGCCAAGGACCTGGTCCTGGACAACACCACCCCAGAGTAAGCGCGGGGCTCGCCCAGGACAGACAGAAATGGAGGGAGCTGGTTCGCCTGGTGGGCTCGACGCACTCCGTGCAAGAGGACTGAGTGAGTCATTCAGTCAGTCAGTCAGTCAGTCAGTCAGTGAGGTCAGTAATTAGGGAGATACGGGGTCCTTTATCCGTCTTATAAAGCGTCGGGTCTGTAACTAGGGAGATACGGGGTCCTTTATCGTCTCCAGGCCAGGAATTAAGCAGCTGTTACAATTACTAGTCAACTAATGTACTCACTCACTCACTCTTCCCCATAGCTTCATCAGCCGTAATGTACACACAAATAAAAATGTATTGCTCAGCATATACATGACATACATAACATTATCCGTCCCCAGGTCAGTAACTAGGGAGATACGGGGCTCTTAATCCGTCTGCAGGCCAGTAACTAGGGAGATACGGGAGTAACAAGGGAAATACGGGTTCGAATCCGTTTTTAGGTCAGTAACTAGGGATATACGGGGTTCTTTATCCGTCTTCAAACCAGTTACTAGGGAGATACGTAACAAGGGAAATACCGGTCCTTTTTTCGTCTTCAGGTCAGTAACTATGGAGATACGGGGTCCTTTATCCGTCTCCAGGTCAGTGACTAGGCATATACGGGAGTAACTAGGGAGATATGAGAGAAACTAGGGAGATACGGGATCAGTAACTCACCTTTAGCCGCCGCAGTGCTGCAGACGGTCGCGCCCAACACGCACAGAACCAGCCTCCACATCCTTCTGTCGTCTGGGGGCCGTAAAACAGTCGTCTGGAGTTCGTAAGACGGTTGTCTGGAGTTCGTAAGACGGTCGTCTGGTGTCGGAAAGACCGGACGGTTGTCTGGAGTCGGTCGGGAGGTCCGTAAGTTGTACGGCGGGTGTCCGTACGAAGTCTGGCGGAGTTTGGCCCGGGCCTGCCTCTTAATGGCCAACTCAGACGTACTTCTCTGTGCGCTGATTGGTGCAAGGTGATGCCACGTGATACTTTCTGCCCGCTGATTGGTTGGTGCGATGTGATGCCATCAATACAAACGTGGGATCACCCATAACATAATGATGTCATCATACAGCGGGAGATCCGGCCTGCCAGGGACCCGAAGGTCGACACCCACACACAGAAAGACAGAAAAAAGATGTCCAGACTGTGCATGATGTACAAAAGTACTAATAAACTGGTGGACGTCCCATTACTAAGTACCTAATACCAGCCCAGAAGAGAACAAGAAATAGCCATGCCTTCAAGTACCAGAGTTATCAACCAAGGATTGGGGTGTTCAAGAATTCATTCTTTCCTAGAACTATCGAAGAGTGGACCTCGCTGTCACCTAGTACAATAGGGGCATTGTCAATAGATAGCTTTAAACAATGTCTAGAGTTAGCTGTTCAAGGGTTAGGTGTAACAAGTCGATCGGTGTAATGTAGCCAGCTGCCGCCACGCCGCGTGCCTGCGAAGCTGGTGTGTTACGCCATAGGGCGGTTATACCGGCTATACAGATACAGAAGCTGGTGTGTTACGCCGAAGGGCGGTTATACCGGCTATACAGATACAGAAGCTGGTGTGTTACTCCGAAGGGCGGTTATACTGGCTATACTGATACAGAAAACGGAGTTATGTGTTATTCTTTTAAAGGCATCCAATTCAGTTTTTAGGGCTTGGAAACCCTACTTTTCAAAGCCAATATTCTAGTCATTTATCTACCACACTATCCCAATGTATATTGACCCTCATGGAGCAAAAATTCTGACGGAAAATGATTACTGGAAGGGCCCTGGGCTGATTGTTAGGGTACCATCCAGAAAATAAAGGACTCATCTTGGGGATTGTTTCTGTACCCAAAGTATGAAATGCTGACTCAAATGTGCTGATGTAAAGCAGTTTGTGTCAATATCACAAATATTACCTTATTCAGAATATTTTCAGTTTTGCTGCCCTGAAATGATCTAGTAATAACATGATCTAGTCTCCACCAGACTCCTTTCCAGTCTGAATAAATAGTAGAAATATACCCAAAAAGATTGCAGTTGGCCAGGAGAGTTGGCCGGCCATAGAGGGTCCAGTTGGCCTAAAGGTCGATGTCCGCACAGAGAAAGCGAATTTCGTGTTATTCTTGTAACTTTACAATAAAAGAAACTTCTTAAAAATGTATATATGAAGCTTGAACATGTATGCCACAAAGAGCTTCTGACAAAGTATTATGTCTTCTTTGTGTAATGTTTGTAGAAGTTATAATGTAAAGCTGGTCAATATTACAAAAAAGTGGGCATTCCTGTATTTGTTTAGACGTTTGTCATGTTCCCAACGATAGATGTAATGTTTACTTTATATACTGATCTAAACTAATACTGAATACGAATACGAGGGAAGGTAAACCACTTCTTAAATTTTCTGTAATTTTGGTACATTTAGATGAATAACGTCCCTGAATCAGCAAGTGGCCTTGTGTTGGTGTAATATTGATTTTTCTGAATGTTTCTATAACGTGCAGACAAGCAAAACGTGCATGGCATGTTCTAGATGCTCCCGGGTAGTACAATGAGTACAGTTACATCGTCAAACTGTACTCTAGATCTCTAGCAAACCAACTCCCCCGGCATGTTGTCTATTTATTTGGCCAATTTCTACTCTTCCCAGCCGCCTCCCGAAGCCTGATAGAGGCTACCTGAGCCAGCAAGTGGCCTTGCGTTGGTGTGAAATTGATTTGCTGAATGTTTCCATAACGTGCAGACAGGCCAGTGTGTTGTTAGATCCTCCCGGGCAGTGTTTAAGTATTAAACAACTTGTCGATCAGCGGTGGGTATGAAGGACAGTCCTACCGGACCTAAATCAATCAATCAGCCAGCTGCCGCCGCGCCGCGTGCCAGCGAGAATCGTGTGTTACGCCGAAAGGCTGTATCCAATGCCATGAAGCCCGCGGACAATTAAATGTACCACTTTGGTTAGCAAAAAAAAATATGCCAGTACAAATAGAAAAAGTCCGATAAAAATGCCAAAAAAGACATCAAATGATGTAGCTCTTGGAGTGTAGTATAGACCTGTCAACATCAGGGTAAACATGGCCCTAACAGTCCTCTAACAATGTGCAGAATAAGTTTTCAAAACCATATCCAGTTGCTTGAGTAACTTCTTTTTGACGTATCGTATTACCTGGATGTCTAACCTTCGTCGACGTAATGTGTAGAATATGTCTAAATCAGTAGGACTTCAATTGATGTAACTTTCTATCATGTCTGACTGTTTCCTACTAACTCAGGATTATAATGAAAAGCGGCCCGCAGGACGACCTGAGCGTTATAACAGTCAGCCCGGATTGAGCGCAGCCTGGTATCCAGTCTTACGTGATAGGGGGTGTTGGGGTGTTCGGGCAGGTTGTGCCTTCGGGGGCTCTAATAGCTTCCCCCGCCCAGTGCTAACAGGCCGTCCCGGTAGGAGTGTTACGCTAATAAGAGACAGTATGCTTGGAGAGCTGGTTTCTGATCAATCTCTCCTGAAATACACACCGGGAAACCTATGCGAGGCGGGCGGGACCACGATCAGACTGGATACCAGGCTAGATTGAGCGCTGAGGTGGCCTTGGCTAGTTTGGGCAGTGTGTATTTCATATATATACATCAGCAAGTGGCCTTGTGTTGGTGTAAAATTGATTACCTGAATGTTTTTATAACGTGCAGACAGACCTGTGTGTTGTCAGATCGTACGTTTCCATAACGTACAGGTGTTATGACTGGCCTTGTACATCTGTTTAAGTGTACAAAAACCTTTCTCCACCCGTACAATCAACATAAACAGCGCCATAATGACAAACTGAATAGCAAAGTTCTTTCATCACAACCATTTATTTTTCAAGAGCCGACGTTTCGATGACCGTCTGTCATCTTCATCAGGGCAATTCTGACTGGTTTACTGTGCACTGGCACTAGATGTTACTTGTTACTGTGAACTATGTAACACCTTCAGTGCACTATGCACCAAGTAACACCTAGTGTCAGTGCACAGTAAACCAGTCAGAATTGCCCTGATGAAGATGACAGACGGCCATCGAAACGTCGGCTCTTGAAAAATAAATGGTTATGATAAAAGAACTTTGCTATTCAGTCGTTTACCAACCTGATGAAATCATTTACGGATGTGGGACAATTAAACTGTTCTCGAAGTTAAGGTATCTAATTCACCAAATTTCGGCCCAGTTTCTGGGTCTTCTACATCTACAGATTTCTGGACAAAACCCCTCGCGGTTGCGCAAAGTTCTTTTATCATAACCGGGGGGGGGGGGGGGGCAGTACCCTGGCGCGACCGGTGGTGGTGCACAAACAAAAATATATAGTATGGAAATGTGAAAAGAGGAAATAATTAAAACTGTGATATATACAAAATAGTCAGCCAGGGTTAAGTGTGGTTAATGTGTGGCGCTGGGATGGCCATTAGTACTTAGCTTTGAAATCAGCAGCTTTTTGTCCAAAATTCTATTTAAGTACCAACTATTGTACGATACGATCTCTTGTCTTCTTGCCAGACGATCTGCAGCCTGATCATAACTCATCAATAATTGGAGATCTGTATTCATATGTACTTTATGATGCTCTGACCCGAGAGGCCATTTAAAACAATATAATACAAAATGTAACAACGGAGTATAATAAAATAATGATGCAACAGAATTAACAGAAGACTAACATAAGCTGAACTGAAAAACACTTTAACAAATTATATGAATCAACAGATTATACAGATTATACCAAATATGTATCTGATTACAGAAATTGTTAACGCAACTCAAAAAAGAGGTGGGAAAGGTCAGAAACAAAATAATAAATAATGGAAATCAAAAATAGTTCATGCTGTAGGTAATGGAACAACAATAGATTACATATGAACCACAATATTTTCCGATGCACGGTTGGCTAAAGCACCCTGCAGCCACCAACAGGATCCTAAGGAACAGCCAGGCCGTGAGTGCTCCCAGGGCTAGGACAAAGCGGCTCCAGCAGTCCTTTCTCCACAGGGCCATAGCCCTATACAACAAAGAACTGTCACATCACTAGTTTTATCTTTCCTAAACCTCATCTGTATAAAGTTTTTTTGCTTGGTACAAATTTTTTATGTATGTATTATAGTGTATATGAGGGTGTGTATATATTGCTTGCCTTGCCTATTGTAATTTTTTTCCTGTACGCAAACTCTTTCAATTCAGGGATTCTCATCCCTGCTGCAAGGTTTGCTTTTTTGGTGTTGAAATAAATAAATATGATAATATACAGGGCAGTGCCCCGTACGCGGGTCTTCAGAGACTCGCCACCTAATCAATACCTGCCGGGTGGTCTGTGGTTGGATCCTGCTGGGCATAGATTTCTTTTATTCATCTATATACATAATAAAACAGTAACAAGGACGGTATATGGATCTGTTTCAGCCCTGCCGGGAAGCCTGTGTTTAGGTCCTGGTCCCGTGTTTGGTGTTGCTTTACCTGCACAAACGGACGGTGTTTGGCCCAAACAAAAGTCTTTTTTGTAATCAATTAATGAACAGGTTACAAAAGTTTATGTGAAGAAAATTAAACTGGTCCTTCAACTAAAAAAAAAATTTAACTCACCAGAATTTTTTGTCATCAAATTTCTGGTGACTTAATTTTTTTTTTTTAATTGGAGAATAGTTTGATTTTCTTCATGTATTTCACCAACTCAGATGAACTTTCATGCTAGGTTACAAAAGTTTGGTACACCTATCAGTAACTCTACAGAGGGAAAAAGTTTTTATTAATGTCTTTTTAACATAGATAATTATTCTCTAATTACCTTTGAGTCTTGGATTACGGTAATTTCAAAACCTCTACTACATCAGTGTAATAAACAGGTTTATGAAGATTGTACAGGCACAAATTGTACAGG